CTCCTCCTCCTGTTCGTCCTCCTTCTCCTCGTCCTCGTCCTCCTCCTCGCCCTCCTCCCCCATTCCAACTTATGGTGGCGGTGGTGGAAAACAGACTCATCATCGGGCTGCATCGGCTCGAGGAGTCGGGGTGGGGCCGGACCGGACCGGCGCCAGGATGCACAACAACGCCGTGCACACATCGGGCCGCATCGGATCGCCAGAAAATATGGAAATCGAATCGGGGCGGCCGGGATCGGCATCGGATCGGAGAGATCGGATCGAAGTGGGCCCTGGAAACGGGAGGTCACAGGACACAGAGCAACGACGGCTCTGCTGCCTGCGGGGGGGCATCGCTCTGTCAGCGAGCATCTACCGATCGGGCACGGTTCTACAAACGAGCACCGCGCCCGCTCTGCCAGTCCACCCGCGTCGCAAGCCATTTCGAGATGCCGAAGCCCTCCCCTGGTAAAGAAGGGATACATTGCACTCGCGTGAGGGTTATCCTGCTTCTCCTCGACCGTCGCCGCCGACCGATACGAAACCGATATGAAACAATTAGATTAACTAATTGGCCGCGAGATGAAGAGGAGAAATTAACTTGTGTCTGCGTGTGCGGCGTTGTCATTGCAGCGTTGTGGCCAAAGCGATACCAAAAAACAACTACCATCCGAGATGGTCTGCCTCCAGACGTAACTGTCCACGCCACCCCACGGAAAGCGCCGAGGACAATACCCTATCGAGGCCGCAGAACATGCTGCGGAGAAATCTCAGGATGACTCAGACTGCGCCGAGCCCCATTGATTCGAAGATTTGCGAGCCACAAACCTGATCGACCACTTCGGTCGAAAGGTTGCAATCGAGCGAACTGCATGGACCCCGTGTCACCCATCGGCCGTTGGTCGGGGATCTTCTGACCCTGGTCAATCCAGACCCGGGTCAGCCAGGACTTGCAAGATCCTGCAAGATCCTACACCCAAGCCCGGGTCCGCGCGAAGGATCCTGCAAAATCCTGCAGGATCCTGCACCCGAACTGGGGTCAATGCGACCCTGGCCCTGCAGGATCGAACCCCAGACGTCCGATGTCTCGACTTATTCGACACACAGACCCCCGACCTCCCGACCACTTCCCCGGGACTGGTTTTTCATCCCGAGTCGTTCTTTGACGGTCCCGAGGCCCGGCGAGGGCCTCAAGATGCCGAAAACGATGAAAAACCGCCGTCTCGATTTTTTCGAGATGCCCGATGTTTGGGACACACGAGAGCCGCACCGCTTCGCCGGTGGAAAAAGAGAGACGATCCATTGTGAGGGCCCCTCGCCTGGTCCGCCGTGGCCGTGGCCAGCAGCCTGGGCTCCGCAACGAAGCTGTTCGACGCCACCGGGCTCTGGAGCTCCAGGGGGGGCGACGCCGCTCCGTCGAGGAAGCCGCCGGGGCCGCTCACGTAGACGTGGAGGTAGTAGTACGTTCCTGCCGGGATGGGCGGAGTGCACGTGCGTACACGCCGGGTGCCGCCACGTCGCGACGGCAGCGACGTTCTGGTTTCTGACGCCGCAGATGCCTCCGCCAGGACCGCAACTCATAGGGCAGGTCGTCCGATTTCCGCCGATGCTGGGCCACCGGCGGCGCTCGACCCTGAACGCGCTGTCACCGCGGCGCCGACCTGCCGCATCCACAAGCTCGAAGCCGGCTGCCTGATCACAAATCTGTGATTGCCAGCCAAGTGCAGTGGGGCCACATTGCGACGGCTGGCCTGCCAAGGTCTGGCACCTGCGCCGCACACGTACGGCAACATACGAATATCTCCCAAACTACGCGGACGAAGAAGAGGAAACCCATAAGGAGACGTATCTGATGATCTGAGAGAGCGTGATCCACCGCCGCTTTACTGTGAAAAATTGCCGCCCTTTTCCTCCGGAACCCGGGGGTCTCCCCCCCCCCCCTCCGAAAATCCCCCCCCCCGGCTGGACCCCCCCCCCCCTCCCCCCTCCCCCGGCAAAACCCCCCCCCTCCCCTAACCCCTCCCCCCCCCCCCCTCCCCCTCAAAACCGGGGGGGGTCACCACCGGTTCGACCCCCCCCCCCCTCGAAAACCGGAGGGGGGGTCACTACCGGTTCGAACCCCTCCCCACCCCCCCTCTCACCGCCAGCAAACGACTCCCGGTCCCTACCACCGTCCTCACCACATCCCCCACTGTTGTTCCCAGCACCACTGTCCTCACCACCACTGTCCCCACTGGTTCCACACCCGCCCCTACTGTCCCCACCAGTGCCACCACCACTGTCGCACTGTCCCCACTGTCCCCACCACTGTTCCCACCACGGTTCCACTCTCCCAACTTTCTCCACGACTGTCCCCACTGTCCCCAGTGTCCCACTGACTCCTCCGCTGTCCCACTGAGCTGTCCCACTGTTCCCACCACTGTCCCCACTGTCCCCACCACTGTCCCCACTGCACCTGTGTCCCATTGTCCCACCGCCGTCCTCGCCACCGCCTTCACCACTGTCCCCACCACCACTGTACCCTCCACTGTCCTACCGTTTCCACCACATTCCCACTGTCCCCACACCACTGTCCCCACCACCGTCCCCACCACTGCCCCACTGTCCCCACTGTTCCCACCATTGTCCTCACCATTGTCCCCACCACTGCCGTCCCCACCACTCCTCCACTGTCCCCACCACTGCCCCGCTGTCCCCTCACCACTGCCCCCACCACCACCGTCCCCACCACTGTCCGCACCCCCCCTCGGTTTTCGAGGGGGGGGGGGGTTCGAACCGGTAGTGACCCCCCTCGGTTTTCGAGGAGTTCGAGGGGGGGGGGGGGTTCGAACCGGTAGTGACCCCCCCCCTTTTCATGATGAACTGGTGGGGGGGGGAGGGGTTCAAACCGGTAGTGACCACCCTCGGTTTTCCAGAGGGGGGGGGAGGGGTTCGAACCGGTAGTGACCCCCCCCGGTTTTCCGCCAGCAGCGGTAGAACACGCTCTTTCGATGATCTGGATCAATACAATAGGCCTGCTTAACCTGCCTACCCCCAGCCCCTGGCATGGAATACACACCGCCGCTGAGTTTGCGTGCGTGGCCACAGGATACGCAGCCTGGGTCCCTGAAAATAACTGCGTACGACTTCTTGGCAACAAATTGCACCGTCTCATCTTGAACCCACCAAATCCCGATCCCTTTCACGATAGAGTACCACACATGTTTCGACTGATCCAGTATCACTTGAACCACGCGCGCTTCGCTTACGCTTAGGTTCTAGTCCAAGGCATTTGCTTCATGCACGTTGGAGGTCTCTTGAAATCTGATGCGGCTCTTCTGGGGGGGATCTTGGGGTGGCCTCTGGGAGCCTTTGAAGGTTTCTGGTGGGGGCTCTCACGGGATCTGGGGGCCTTATGCGGGCCTCTTGGGGGCAGCTTAGGTGTCTTAGGGGCGATCTTGGGGGGGAGGGCCACCAGGGACCTGTAGACTTCCAGATCTTGGGCTCACATGGAGCCTTCCTTGGAAGCAACCTGGGCCACCTTGGGAGGGAACATCTCAGGACGTCGTGACGCTAACTGCACAGGCGTCGGCCCAAGAATAACGCCGCGCCAGCCCACAATACCCGGAGGACGACGACGACAAGAACACGAGCACAGAGGGCGGAATGAACGACGAGGCGACAGAGGAGAGGAGAGAAACGCACGGCCCCTGCTGGACCGCGCGCCCTCTGTGACGCCGCTTTTTCAGTCCAGCGGCAACGATTGATGGCCCGTGAAACGAGGAGGTGGACCGGGACGGAGGAGGAAACCACGAAGAGACCCGGAAGCTCGAAGTCGGACTGGCAATTTTCGAATACAAATGCGAGCAACGTTCGCAAAACGGGGTCGCTGTCGTCCTGCCAAAGTCCACCATCCAATATCGGCTGCTGCCTGCCTGTTGCACGTTGGCGGTCGGCGGCGGCGGCTCCAAGACGGGGCGGGGCGCCGCTTGCTCCGAACAAGCAGCGCGCGCCCCGGGCAGCACACCGTGCGGCCGATCAATCTTCAGATCTGCCTTGGAACGTGGGCGCCCAACGGAGGGCGTCGCGAGCTAAAACTGGGCATGCATAGAGGAATCAAGGGAAGGAGCGGCATGCGCTGAGCAAGCAACCGCGCTGTGGGGTGGTCTTGAAGCCCCCTTTTGCCGTCGTGGGGCGGTCTTGGGGCCCTCTTGGGTTGTGTCGGGCCAGTCTGGGGGGCATCTTTTGCCGTCTCGGGCTGCAGAGACGCAGATTTAGAAGGGAAAGTGGAGGCAGAGGGCAGGGAAATCATAGGACGTGGAAGGGAAGGCTTGAAGGACGCCCGTGCGAGTCCCCGAAGCACTTGTTTTCAGCCTTGCGAGGCTGGTTCTTCTCAAATATGCCCAAAACGATATTGTGTTACCGTTTGTTTGGTTTTCACTCGGCATGTTGGATTTGTGTGTTGCACTTTTAGGTCCCAGCAAGAAAAACAACACGCTGAACAAACGAGTCATCTTTTTGCGACTTTCGCTTCATGTGGGATGGCGTTTTCAGATCAAGTGGTTGCACCGTTGAACGTTGCCGTCTTCGGGAGCGGCCAAGAGGGGGGGGTCCAAGAGGGGGGTGTGCAAATCATGGCCGGCGGCATGTGCGCGGCCCAGCGGGGGGGGCCAGGAACGTCATGAAACAAGAAGAGGCGCCATGAAATCTGGGGAGATATCATGGCCCCCGCCATGATATCCCCCCCCCCCTAGTCATCACCCCCCTCTTTGCCGCTCCCGACGTCTACGATGGCCTCCATTCCTCCTCCCGGCGTGCAGGTCTTCAGCCCTGCGGCTCTCTCCCTCCGACTGCTCTCGCCGTCCTCCGAGCTCATCCTGGGGCATCATGGCCTCCGGGCCCGATGGCCGCTTGCCCCCGTCGGGGGCCTCTGAGCCTACCTCGGGCCAGTGCTCGGCCGGTGTTGAAACGTTTTTTGGGGGGGCGTTTCTGGCCCCGCGAGGGAGAACGGCGGTTGAAGCGAAACATAGGAGTGACGACAGGGAAGACAAGGAACAGCCTTCAATCAAGGCAGAAAACTTGAAGCAATGAGGATCCACAGCCATGGGCCAAAAAACGCGGGAAACACACTTGTTAAAGACGCTAATACACCGTTGCGGTGTTTCCGAGTTCTTTAGCTGGTCAAGAGCCCAACATTCAAATATATGTATGTATATATGTATAGATGTAAGAATACGAACAATAATACCACTACGTATACAATAGTAAAAATACGATGTGCCTCTTAATGCCCAGGGCGCTTTTACGAAACACAAGCTTTTGGCCGCATGTAGGAATCTGGGAGGCGTTGTGCGGTCACTTGCGTTTTCTGGGCACGGGACCACTTTCGGGCATCTTGGGGCCGTTTCACGGCCTCTCGAGGGTCTCTTGAGAGCGTCTGGGGAGCCTCCGGGAGGGCCTTCAATGAGAGCGCCCGACGACCTGTTTTGGCTGTCTCTTAGTGTTCTCTTGGGGCTCTCTTGTGGCCTTCTTCGAAAATTGTGGGTCCATCTTCGGCAATTCCTGGGTATGCTTGATGACCGCTGGGGTTGTCCTAGGACGTTCTCGGGGCCTCTTAGGCTGCCTTGGGGAGGTATCGGGGGCCTGTCGGTCCGTCGTGGACGCGATGCAGCCAGAAGACAACGAATCTGTTAAGATTGCACGATTGCCTCGGGCCTCCTGAGGCCCCCCACGGGGGCCTCTTGGAGATGTGTTGGAGGGGGGTCTCTCGGGCGTCTTGAAGCAGTCTTGGGAAGTCTCGGGGCGTTCTTTCGGCACCTTAGAGGTTTCCTAGCAGCCTCTGAAGCCGTCAAGAGAAAATCGCCAGCGGTCTCTCAGCGCTTTCTGGAAATCTCACAGCTGTTTTGGGCGGTCAGGGGGCTCGGATGCCCCCCCGGGCCCCCGCAAGGGAATGGGGCTCGGCCCCGCCGTGGGCCCGGACATTCGGATACGGATATGTATGTGTATGTATATATATACACATATATATACACATACATGTATGTATGCATGTACGCATGTATATCTATATGAAGCACGACCATAGATGTACCAAACCATGTTCATATGCATGTACATAAACCGATACACATGCATGTTCATACACACGTGTATACACATATGTGCAGATACACATGTATGTATACATATACACATGCATATACATAGCCATATGCATCCACATGCCCAACAATATACACATACATTTACATACGCACCTACATGTACATATGCATATAACTATGATCACGCCTCTGCCTGCACGCATGCGAATACGTAAACATATGCATTTGCATTTGTACAAACATAAACATACACGTATGCATTGATGCATGCACATACATGTGCATATGCTCATCCATACACGCATAGATATGCACGTGCAGGTTCGTATGTGTGTAAACACCCATATGCGTACACATCTACAACCACATCTACAAACGTACACAT